AAAGCGGAAGGATTTCTGTCGACATCGACATCGACGTCGACGTCGACGACGTCGACGACGACGACGACGACGACGACGACGACAATGTCGATGATGACACGGAGGGCAATGTTTCAAAGAGATGACGCGCATAGGATTCGCTGCCATGTGTCCGCTAGCTGGTCGAGTTGTGCTACTCACGGGTGGCGGTTTAATCTTGCAGATGCCGGACCTCTCGGCGATCGGTCGTATCTTGGCGATGTAGGCGAGGGGATCGTGGAACTCCTCGTTGGTCGGCTCGAACACCGGTGCTTCCGGCGGCACCGTAAACTCAAAGTCGGTCTCGGTGCGCTCGCAAGCCATATCTTGGGCGCAGCGTGCTTGATTTCCATTCCCACAGGGACGATTCTCAAGGCTTCTCGAGCCCATGATTCGGATTTCGGAGGCACGGTACTTGCGGGGTACTTCCGACGCGTCACGCGTTGGCTAGCATGCACGCACTTCAAATTCGAGCGAAAGCCTCGGCGCCAGGCACCACGAGTAGGACGTCGTCTCACGTCGCTACTCGACCCGGATTAGTCGCGCAAGCACATTGCCACGAGTTCCCGGATCGATCATGTTCCTCGACGTCGGTGCTTCTAACGTTGTTGCTGTTGCTGTTGCTGTTGCTGCTGCTGCTGTTGCTGCTGCTGCTGCTGCTACTGCTTGACAATAAACGACGCGGCGCGAATCACGCGGATGCAACATCGACGTTACGTGAAGCCTCACACGACACACACGACTCACCGCTCACCGCGACTGCTGATTACCTCCTCTCCTCAGTCCTCTACTCCTAGTCCTCTTCGTGTTGCGCTCACGCTCACGCTCACATCGCTCATCCCTTCTCTGCTCCGCTACGCAGCCTGACCTGTCGCACTCGTACAGCGTACTTGAGCAACGACTCGACGACTGCGCCATCGGCGGACGAATAGTGGACGAGTCATAAGATCCGTTTCGTCGTCGATTCCACAGATTTGTCCGTTTTTGTGTGGCAATTGTGGCCGATCGCAGAGATGCCACATTGCAGACGAGCCACACGTTAGAGAATCGAGTAGGGGGAACGCGCATACTCCAGTATACTCCTGCATATTCCACGCCACGGAAAGATCAGAGAAGGCACCTGCGTAGCTGCATTACCAGCGTTGCGCCGTCGCGTATCCCCCTCCACCCTCCACACGTCATAAACCATCTTACTACTGCCGTTTCTCGGGGCTCCGCATAATAAAAGGAACAGGGAAATACAGAGAATAAGAATTTCAACCTATTATAGAAATCGTGTGGAACACAGTTTCCTGTTCCTTTTATTGTGCGGAGCCCCCCTTTCTCACTGCACCGGATTATATTCAAATTTGCCTTCTCGTTTTTTTTTTACTAAACTTTATACGTATATCTGTTTCATTTTTAATAATATAACGAGTGCATATACACTAGTCGAGCTAGAAAGAACAGACCTCAGTACACAATCTCGCTGAGCGTCACGTGACCCCGGGATCTTGCGCGGATCACGGACTATGCGGGCGGCGGGGTGGCGGTGCACATCAGAGGGTCGATTCTGTATCTTGAAACAAGGTGAAAATTACAAAAGTGAGCAAATTTACTAGGTGTTGACCAATGGAATTATCAGTATTCTAGTAAATTCGCTCACTTTTGTAATTTTCACCTCGTTTCGAGATACAGAATCGATCTTCAGAAGAAGGTTCGTGATTCGTGATGCGTTATTTTTCGCTTCGCGACAATGATTACGTAAAGCCGATTCCAGTTTGTTGCGACAGCCAATCTGAAGCTTGCATTTTGAAATCAACGCTTCATACTGGCTGTTGCAACAACTTGCGATCGGCTTGCAACTAATGTAGAATCGGCTTAATATATCGTACGAAGGCTGTGCGCTCACGGGGAAAAATGTCCCGCTAGATAATCAACTGTTTTACGCATGCGCAGCATCGATCAGCGTCAATGTATATCAGATTGACGAGAGAGAAAGAGACGTAAGTCACAGGTCGTAGATTTTATATTTTCGTCAACGGTGCGACGAAAATGCGTCCAAATACATGCCATTGTCATATACCCACTCCACGGTCAGTACCGTATGATGCGTTTTTTTTGTAACCGTAA